GACCAAACTTGAAACATAGACTTTTCAAATAGAGCAAAGGTGCAGAGAATTTGGACAGAACATTCATAGTAATTTATCTGTTTAAAATATTCATTTAAGAAGACATGTAGAGCAAAATGCCTCAAAGTGCTGAAGCACACAAATCCAAATAAACACGCTTGTGGAATCCGTGTTTGATGTAAGATAAGATTGATATATGATTATTACATGGTCTAATCCAGGAAGTTTGACTATCACTAATTAAATGAGAGCAGAGAGCATGAATAGCTTTTAAGGAAGAAAATTTCTCACAATCAAACACAAGGAGGCTTGTTTGAAAGTCAAAGCTTATTGTTGATGGAGATTAACCATTTCAGCCATGAGCATCCTTTGATTCTTTCGGAAGAGATCGATAATGAAATTGTTTGCAAGGGATGTCAAAAAGGCTTCCCAGAATCAGCCTATGGTTGCAGCCAATGTAAATTTTACCTGCACAAGTCCTGTTCTGAGCTACCACTAGAGATTCGCTGTTTCTTTCATCCATGTCCTCTAGTTATCAAGATAACTCAATACTTTGAGAGTGGATTTGTTTTCTGTAATGCTTGTCATAGATCCCACTGGGGCTTTTATTACTATTGTGACCGCTGTCAATTTGTTGTGGGCGTAGAATGTGTAACCTTAAGACATGAAGAAGGGAATACTGATAATCAGATTTGGCATTTAAGCCACGCACATCCATTGACAATTGCAGACAAAAAGGAGGATGATGGAATTTGCTGTCAAGTATGCAGAAAGCTATGCACAAGCCAAACCTATGGCTGCAACTGCTGCAATTTTTTTCTCCACAACTATTGCATGGAAAAATTACCTCCAGCAATCCAACACTTCTCCCATCTATGCCCTCTCATCCTACTCTCAACTTGCAACTACTTGTGTAATGCTTGTCACGAAGAACATGCTGGTTTAGCCTTTTGCTGTGCACCTTGTAATTTCTTACTGGATGTTCAGTGTGCCCTTCTGCCCACCATGATATCCAAAGGCTTCGACAAGATGATTATACATTCATTTCATTTCCATCCATTGACGCTCTATGACTACAAGGATATAAATGATAAAATTTGCTGCAAAGCATGCAACCAGGACTGTTCAGGTCCTGTCTATGGCTGCAACAGATGTAAGTATTATTTACACGAATCATGTTCCAAATTGCCACAGCGCATCACACATCCTTCTCATCCACAACACCCTCTTTCGCTTCTTCCTTTCATGCTTGAGGAATCTTTATCACCTCCTTGCCATTCCTGTGACAAGAAATTGGGATTATTTGCTTATTGTTGCTTCACCTGCTCATTTGCTCTTGATGTAAATTGCTCCTTGATAACGCCCAACATCAAGTATGAAAACCATGAGCATCTTCTCACTGTGATTGAGGGAGGCTGTTCAGAGGATCTCTGTGAGGCCTGTAACAAGAGCTGCAAGGGTTTGTATCTCAGATGCGTGGAATGCAGTTTCAATCTCCATATTCAGTGTCATCCCTTAGTTCCACGCACAATCAACCATCATTGTCATATAGATCCTTTGTCCTTAACTAACTTGCATGATCCTGATCAGCTAGATCCAGATGAAGAGTTCTACTGTGATGCTTGTGAGACTTTAAGAAATCCAGAGGACCCTGTCTATTATTGTTCCTCATGTGACTTTACCGTTCACATACAGTGTGTTCTCTCGGAGGTAAATGACATAGATGCACTATCTTTCACTAGTTTTCTATTGTTAACACGTAAGTGGAATTAATTCTAAATTCTTGTGCAACTACTATACTGATTTATACGTGTTACTAGCCAGCATCAACATTTTTATTCTGCAATTTAAATTATAATAATGCAAACTTTCTCATAAAAATCATTGTTGTTAGGTGTTAGCTCAGATTACAGAAGATGATTCTGGTAGAAGGGAGAACGGTCTTTCTCCGGCAGATCATATTCTGGCAGAATTAGACCAAGATATTGCTGATATTGCTTCAGTTTTGGAAGAATTAAGAGATTTCGCTGAAGACAACCAAAAAGAAATAGAAAAAAAAAATAAAGAGAAGGAAGATTTCGAAGCAAAATTACAGGTAATAGTAAATGAAACAGAAAAACTAAGAACAACTTTAGGTGGGGTTGAAAAAAAACTAGAGGCATTTGAAGCTGAACGCATCCGAAATATTGATCTGAGGAATCAAACACAGCGAACGAAGATGCAAGAAAGTAGAAAGAATGCCTACAGGAGAAAATATTACTAATTTGTTCATGAACATAAACAGAAAAAACTCAACAAGTCAAGTTCATGAAGGTGTTGGTCATTCTCTTGGCTTTGGTTTTGGTTTCTCAAGTGTACTCTTCAATAAGAATTCTTGATTTGTTCATGGTTTGTCAATAGAGCTTCAAATCTACAAGAAAAATGGTCAATTAGAAAATTATCTGAGTTAATAATTATTATTTTAATTGTTATTTGATTGAATGATTAGTATTTTTATATTTTTTTACGATAGTATGGATTAAATCAAGTTTGATTTAAATTTTTTGAATAAAATTTAATACATTTATTAATAAGTGATGTATAGATATCAATTAATTTAATACTATAAAAAATATTATTTAAACGAAAATATATTAAAATATAAATAAACTCAAATTTATAATCTCTTATAAAAAAATAATAATAATAATAACTTACCAATAACATCGTATAAAATAAACAGTTAATATAAGTAATCATGGCATAGTATTGTTGGTGATGGAGCATTGACTATTCCAATAACTTTTTGTCTTATAATTTATAAGGTATTATTCTGTCTCAACCACCCTCCTAAAATAAAGTTGAAACATCATCAATAAAAAAAGATTATCACAGCGTGCAAGACTAGTGAAGTCTTTGAGAGATGTGAAAATAATACTATAAAGAATAAATAATATAATAATATCAGCATTACAAAAAGAGATGTTCATTATTTTCTCTGCAAGAGAAGAAAAAGAAGATCAAGGAGAGAAGATGGAGGACACGATCCAACACTCCAGCCATGAGCACTCCTTGATATTGTGCAAGGTGGAAGACGATAATGGAGATTACTGTGATGCCTGTCACGAACCCTTATCAGGTTTTCCCTTCTATGCTTGCAAAAAATGCAGGTTCTTCCTCCATGAACCCTGCGGTGAACTACCACAAGAGCTTCACCATTTCTATCATCCATGTCTTCTCGTCCTCCTCCTCAACCAAAACTTCAAGTGCCAGGCATGTGAAACTTCATTTGAACAGTCCTTGGCGTACCACTGCGAACTCTGTAACTTCTATCTTGATACTAAATGTGCTCTGCTGCCATTTAAAAAACCTGCAAGTCAAGACAACATTATTCACCATTTCAGCCATGCTCATCCTTTGACTCTTTTTGCCAATAGAGAAGCTGAATGCAGCGCTTGCGGAGAACCTTGTGTTGGTCCTGGTTTTTTATGCAGAATCTGCAAATTATTCGTCCACAAATCATGTCTCCTCAACCTTCCACCCCAACTCCATTACTTTTATCATCCATGCCCTCTGATTCTTCTCACAGCTTCGATATCTGATTGTAGATCCTGCCGCACTTTCAGAACAAAGAAGACTCTAATCTTTCGCTGTGTCAAATGTAAATTCGACCTTGATGTTAAATGCGCTTTAGCTCTCACAAAATCAATTGATACCAATACCCAGATTCAACATTCGAGCCATCTACATCCCCTGACACTTTCTGAAAACAACTTCACTGAGACAATCCAGTGCAAGGCCTGCAGACAGGAATGTTTAGGTCCAATCTATGCTTGTCATGAATGCAAATTCTATCTGGATAAGTCATGTGCCACACTGCCCCAAGAAATCCAACACCCTTTTCATCCCCACCATCCTCTCACCTTCCGAGCCAACTTACCTGAACCATCTGCCTGCAAAGGATGCGGCTTATATGATCAATCCTTTAGATATTTCTGTGAAAGATGCAGCTTTTCACTTGATTTCAACTGTGTTTTAATGACGCCTTCTTTTGAGTACAAGCGCCATGATCACCTTCTCACTTTCTTTGATCAAACATATTTCTGTTACAGATGCAGCATCTGTCATGAATGGGATAAAGGTTCTTTATTCAGATGTGTGGAGTGTGATCTGAATCTGCATTTTCATTGTCATCCATCAGTTAGGCATACTTTTCATCATAAATGTCATCCGGATCCTTTGAACTTCATCAAATATCTACCTCAAGATGGTTCCAATGAACTTTACTGTGATGTTTGTGAGGAGAGAAGGAACCCATTGGCTCCTGTTTATTACTGTGATGAATGCGACTTCGTTTCTCATCTTCGTTGTGTCCTCCCAGAGGTATGTCCAGGTTCTGCTAACTACTCAGAAATTACTAACCACAAATAAAGCTTGAGCATGTTAATCCGAAAAGCATATACAAAATTTCAGAAGAAGAGATTATTTAATCACAGTTTATTTAACAAGGGAAAAAACGAAACTTTGTTGTTTGGCAGGTGCTTTGTCCAAATGCAGAAAATGGAAGTGATTTAGCAGAAACAAATGTCTCTGCATCAGAAACCAACCTTGTAAAAATAGAAGAAAGAATTAATAAAGTCCAGGTAACAAAAGAGAGAATGAAAGAAGTGAAAACAGCATCTGAAACTGAAAGAAGTTGTTCTGCAAAAGTAGATGAAAAGCCTCAAAAAATGTTGGAGCCACTAAAAGAAGAATCAGAGGAATTAGCTGCAAAATTTGCTTTGCTAACAGCCAAGATCGTGGCAGTAAAAGCAAAAATAGAGGGATTAGAGGAGGAGCGCGCCTTGCGTGTACGAAATGAGTATCCAATTGATCAGTCTTGAGCATAAAGATGAACTTTTCATATGCAAAATTAATTACTGAGTGGGCTAGTTTTGCTGCCATGTGTAATGTTAGTCTGTGTCCAGTTGCCGAAAAAAATGAATATAATGTTAGTCATTCTTCTGAATGAAAGTGTGGTTTGAGTAACAGAATCAAGAATGGTGATTCAAATTTGTAAAATTATGTAATGATTCTTGATTCTCGATCCTCATTGGAACGTAGTATGGATTCTGTTAAGAACATTGTATTCTCATTTTACAGATTTTTTTTTTTTTTGGGTGGAATCAAATTATGTTTTCATAGTTTTCCAATTTTATTCCACTTACTTATATTTTAATCAAATTGCTTTGGATTCTTCATCCTCCAAAAGTTGGAAAAATCTATTGGCTCCAAGTCCCTTTCTTGCTTAAAAATTTCCAAAGGTCATTATAAAGTTCAAAATGGGCGGCCATTGAAAGTAGCAGCAGTTTTATCGTTTAAAAATCACATATTTATCTATAGACAAGTTTTAAAATGTTTAAATTTTGTTTCTTTTGAAGAAACATTATCATAATGAGTACTTTATTTTATGCCACAGCAATCAATGTGTATATTTTATGCTAAAAACATGAGATAGAGTAGAGATGA